GTAATGTAATGGACAATAAAGTTTCTTATCTTAATAATATTCCAATTAAATAAACGTATCATAAGTATAACACTCTAAATGATACTATTCTGCATAATTTTCAGTACATTTTGCTGCTAATACTTATGCACTTTAATGGGGAACTAGAAACATGTTTTGCTTTAATAAAAGATCTTCTTTCATTATTGGCACCTAACAATTATTTTAATTTTGAAAAAATGTCTATTATTCTTAAGATTAATCGATTAGCTGTTGTACCCATCACAGTTTCTTAAGGTGATCTTTTTTCATGTCAGCTGTCCAAAAGAGGTTAAATTTACACAGATTTACAGGTTCAGCTTCTTGCTTAAAGACACTTCAGCAGGGATTAAACACAAATTGTCCAGTTGATGCTCAGAATAGCTTCAAACTATGTAAATTAATGGTGAAAATCTGAAGGAAACCCCCACAATATATAGGTTTTAACTCTGCAACTGGGGCGGTGATATGGCTGTGTACATACAGCACATCACTAACATTGCCTGGGGCAGGAGTTCACTTCCCACTGAGCCCATTCATGCCAGCATTAAATGCACTCAGTGATGCTGTGCAGCGCTGTGGCTAAAAGTGTCCACTAAATGGCTTAGCATGTTGAATTGACTTCACAAGCTTTTCTCTGTTAATGCATTTTCTATTTTAGGTGGTTATGTTTCTTTATAACATATGTCAGTACAGCAGTGTTGCTCACACAGGATCAAAGGTCAACAAACTCTATGCCATTGTTTCTGTACAGTTCATTGACTGTTGTTGTGAAATGTAACAAGGGGAAGTCAAGTATTGACTTATTGACAGATTGTCCCTACAGAGAATCCTCAGTGAATAATACCAACCATGTCACATGTTTAAGCTTGAAGGAAACTTTATCATATATATTTTTTCTCATATATAGCTTATTTTTCTTGAAAATCCCTTAAAATATGTGTAGTTTACGCTAAAGCAGTTAAATGAATATCTGGTTCTAGGCACTTGAAGATGTAGGGACTACACACAGGGCTTGTTGTGAACTATTGTTGGCAAGCTAACCACTACAATGCTAGCCATTTGGGAAGATAGTGTTAGTCCTTCATGTTTGTTCTCAGGATTGTGTTTGATAATTTCCATCAATAATTTCACACAGGTATTCAAGTAGATGTTTTTTTACCATTGACTCCTGTCTTCTTCAGTGGAAAATGTTACATTAAAGAGGAGGTTACATAAAAGTGAGCGGTGCAACAGTAGCTTCCTCCATTTTGGACTCATCATTCACCCAAAAGTCAGCACAATTGAGGAGGTTTGCTTTGGTCAGCGACGGCAATTAATGTGCCGAACGTCACTCGAACTCAGGGTGGCGAAGGCTGGTAAAACGTGACAGTTGTTGAAATAATGAATACTATTGAGTGGACGGTGAATTTGAACACTTAGTGGCTGGTGGACGTTTTTAAAAAGTTAATTTCCCACCCTGGTTGAACTTCACCCCTGCGAGCGAATCCATTTTAAAAGCTGGTGTGACTGGGTCTTTTAGACTGGAAGAGGGTCTTTTTCAAGTGTTTTTCACTTAATAGAGATATTAAGTTCTTTCCTTTTTTTATTTCACTTCACAGAACTTGTGCATTTTGTACAGGAAATTGCTGAGTGCATGCTCTTCTTCCTGCCTTGTTGTGTGTCTGGTTGCATCTGTCAATATGAGTCGTCCCTGTGGGAATATTAACCCCCTTGGCGTTACCGGATGAGTTGCCTTTTTTTTTTTTTTTTTTCCTCGGTGTGTTACGCAATCACACGGTAGTATCACAACTCAACATAGATTCCCCCGACTGTGTGTGCTGCTCACTATCCGGCACCTTCACCCTGGGGATTTTCTTATTATGCTCTTTTTCTTTTTGCCCTTTTTTACCCCACCAACAATTAATTCTCACCCTCTCGCTCTCTCTGTGAATATCACACACACACACACACTTTCTGAATCTCCCCTCTTTTTTCAAAACACAAAAAGGATGGATTTCAGCGTCTGTTGCTACACAAAAAGCAAGTTTCCCGGAGACCTGAAAAGATGCAGTTTCAATCGCTGCATGATGTACAGTAATGTAGGTCGCGCACAATCTCTGCTGAGGCCTGGTTCCTCGGCCATCCTCTCTCTTCTCTCTCTTTTCGTCTCACAATGGGGACAGCATCCAGGAAATCCCGGCCCCCGCCCGGGCTTCAGTTGTGCCGGCCATGAAGCTCTTCAGTACGGGCGAAAACAATCGATCGATCGATCGTCATGAAGCACGGGAGGTGAAAAAGAGTGAGCTGATAGGATGTTAGCAGTATACAAAGAAAACGAAAGCGGGAGCGTGTAAAAGTACTGCTTTCTGGGCACCCTCAGGAGCAATACTGCTGCTCTTTAAAAGGAGCGTGGGGCCGTGCATGAAGGCCCACTGCGGCCTTCCTCTGTCGGGGCCCAAAGGGAGAAGGCAAGCCAGCAGCATTGGTAGACAACATAAACAAAATGAGCCAGCCGCTAGAAAGAAGAGAGTGAACAGAGGTGGAGATAGACCGAGATCATAGCTATGCACGCCGTAGAGATAGATATAGGGAATCGTGTATTCAGTATATCATTAGACAGCACGACGCTGATTAGAACAGTTTGCCTTCAAAAAAACAAAAGAAACAAATTACACTTTATAGCTTCTACTGGCTGACTCAAGTGATCATTTAGTCAGATCCATTCAACTCGCCTCTGGAGCCACAAAAGCTTTTTATATGATCCATGTTATTATTTTTCTGATATAAATAGCAGTGATTTGACAGTCCCAATGAATTTTGCACGTTGATGTATAATCATTGAGTTTT